CACTTCACGTGCAGTTCAGGAGGTAGTCTTCAGGATTCGGCAGCAGCACTCTGGAGGAGCGCTGCAGGAGTAGTAGCAGCATTAGCAGGAGTCTTCAGCGCTGGGCGCCATAGGAGCTAGAGTAGTACTAGAGAGAGAGAGATTGGACGGAGGCCAGGCGACTTACCTGCAGCGCCATAGCTCCAGCGTCGCCTTCGAGGTACCTGCAGCACAGCGCCATCTTCACAGGTTAGTACCTGGCATATGAGAGAGAGAGCGTTCTTCTTCTTCCTCTTCTCAGTCCACCACCTCCCTCTCACCCTCTCGCTATCTGACTTCACTGCATCCGCAGACTATGAGAGAGAGAGAGAGCTTGGTGACATTTGGATCCAGACTCGACATTGGACTTCAGACATTTGACGAGGGGTTATCTGGGACTTGTAACGAAGACTTGGTGTTGACAACATTCCCATCTTCCCCCCTCCTTCTTCGTCTGTTTCCCTCCTCTTCGTCTGTGCATGATTTGGACCTGGCGCCCTGTGTGTAGGGCCAGGCTCCCTTCACACCGTGTGATGAAGATGATGTATGTTCAGTCTGCATTGCAACATTGAGTGGGTTCGTCATTGGTATTCTAGCATTTTGCTGCGCTATCTTGTGCTACGTGAAGGAGGTCAGTCCCGGTCAGGTCAGGACTTGTATCTAAGTCTTCCACTGCGCTATAAAGCACCAGTCTTGTATGTATCGGAATGCACACTGCTCGTTGAGATTCTACTTGCACTGCATTGTCCATTCAGTCCTTTTTATCACATTGCAGATCCTCGGTTTATTATGTACATCGCCCAACTGGGCATGTAATAGTTGGCATCGGAACACCGCACGTGAATCAGGACAACCTGATCTGACACGTGTGCGGGGACTAGGTAGCTGATTAGTCTTGATTGATTGATTAGAGCACACTAGTTAGCCCCCCAAAATCACGATTTTGACCTCACTACCGAAAATCGAAATTTGTTTTCTTTTCTTGGATTTTGTTTTCCCGCTATTTCTGTTGTGGAAAATCGCAATAGTGCAACATCTGAAATTTCCGTTTTTGTTTTTCTTCTGAAAATCCGAGATTTCGTTGTTGGAAATCCGGAATATCTTTTTCTCGAAAATTTCGACGTCCTTTTGCAATTTCCCGTTATTTGGAAATTCGGAATATTTTTTTGTGAAATTCGTTTTTTTCTGAAAACAGTATGGGAAATACCTCTTGCAGTTATCATTTTCCAAACTGCGCGTACTCTCATCTGAGTAATTCAGAATAGTTTGTTGTATTTTATTTTTCGATAATCCTTTGCAGTCGGAAGTTCGAAAAAAAAATTCTCAGTAGTAATTTCGCACTTCAGGGGGAATTGGAAGGCCTACTGAACTTGCAAACGAGTATTTTTGTTCTTTTCCTCGAATTTTTTTTTGCAAAGTTCAAACTTCAAACTTTCCTTTTTTGATTAGTGGCTCCTTATCTGGGCGATTTTTTCCGCCCACCCTCCCCACCTACGTTGTTGCCCCCTCTGGTCTTACCTTCTCTATCTGTCTCCGGGTACCCCCAGCGGCAGCATTGGTGAGTTGCCACGTCAGCAGGCCACGTCAGCAGCAGGCAATGCCACGTCAGCAGCAGGCAATGCCACGTCAGCAGGGCCCCAGCCTGGTCTATGCTCACGCATTTGCAAACAGCCGTCATGGCCCAGAAGTCCGGGGAAACGGACGAGGCCTTTCAGTCTCGGATGCTGCTTCTGATTACCGAAGCCAAGCAATGGTCGGATGCAGTAGCAGCTGCAGCAAAGAAGAAGGCATAGGACACCGAAAAGGCACGTCTGTTGGCAATTGAACAGCAGCGCCAGCAAGACGAGGCAGCAGCAAAGGCTGCCGATGAAGAACAACTTCAACGCCGTGAGAAGATATTCAGCGGAGAGCGAGCTTTGCTCACAATGGCAGCGGACTGGCGGGCCGAGGCCGAGAATGGAAAGCTGGAAGAGAGTGGAAACAAGATCGCTCTCCTCCTCTGCCATCTCACGGACCTCCTGGTCACGTGCATTGCACAGCAGGAGGACATTCATAACCTCGACGACTCGGTTCAGACACACAATCAAGTGTTTGACCAACTCACTAGCCGCCTCCAGCAGCTGGAACGAACCGTCGCCGCCCCCTTTGCCAGCTCTTCCAACACCTCTGATCGCCTTCAGGCATTGGAGACTGACGTCGGATCCCTCAAGGACGGCGTGCAGTTACAACAAAACGCAACACAACAGTTGGAGCAGTGGATCTCTACTGCCGCCACTCACTCGAGGTTGGAACCGCGCGAAACAGTTCCAAAGTTCGATGATCAGGAGATCTTCTGCGATTCGACGAAGACGGACCCGATTCCGTGGTTCCGCAAGTTTGAACTCAAGTTGCAGCTACACTACATCAGCGAGCACTAGCATCACTCGTACTTGTACTCCCGCTTGGGGGGCCGTGCCAAGCATGGCTGGGCAATCTCCTGTCTAAGTACGAAGTGGTGGCTGCCGACTTGCACACCAAGATCAGCTGGGATGATCTAAAGGCGGCGTGGCATAAGCGGTTCCAAGTAGAGCCGTCGTAGATCAAGGCAATGGACAAGTTGATGGTCTTCGAACAAGGCACGTTGCCGAGTGTTGATTGGATTGCCGAGTACCAACGCTTGACATCTGTCCCAAACATCCAAATGGGCTTCAAAGCTATCAAATAATACTTCATCTCAAGGTTGTGTCCGGCGTTGGGCAATGCCTTGACTCACGTCGAGGACACCCTGATGACACCGGCAGAACTCTTCGACAAGGCCGCGCAGATTATTGTCACGAACAAGGAGGCCAAGAATCTCCAGCATTCGTCTGCGCTAGGCCTGAGCAGAGATCAGCATCGACCGAAAGTGGTTGTGGTCGCTGCGGCAACGCCAAACGACCAAACTAGCGAGGCCATGTCTGCCAATGAAGGGGACAGACTCACAACCGCCCGGGAAGCTGGCCGCCCTGGCAAAGGCCGAGGACGCGGGAAGGCGAAGACAAACACCGCATCTAGACCCGGGCCCGACGCAGCAACTCCAACCCTATGGTCCTATTACGGTCTCTCCGAGCAAGCATACAAGGCATGCACAAGATTCCACTATTGTCTGTGGTGTAACAGCGATCTCCACGACACAATGACCTGCCAGTCGATAGGCAAGGGCAAATCGGGAAACTGAGCACCGCAGGGAGTGAGTCGACGACACTCTCGATGCCTTCGGAACCGGTCGCTTCGGGGGTGACCACCCTTCGTTCCGAGGCACATGCGGAAGTCGATAGTCCTCCTCTTCTATTTTCTTATGAGGACTATGCTGCCCGGCTCGTTCCTACGCTGGGTACTCATGCTCAAGGACAAGACGTGTGTGCGGCATCTTCTCCGTCCAACAACGGCAACTTATCGTCTTCAAGTGGTTTTTCATGGGATTCGGCACGTGAGTTCAACAAGAGGTATTGGACCCGCTCACGTCCGAGGATTTCGCATGGCTTCCTCTCCCGACCACGGGCCGCTTGTCGGGACCGCAATGCGCAACATTATGCGCTCATCTTCACACGTACTTATCCTTCCATGCACCACCAACTTCGTCGACGGATGACGAAGTCACGGTGGGGGACATCCTTGCATATGTTACCACGGTGGCCCGCGAGTTTCGCAATCAGCGGTACGACGACAACATCGCACCGCTCCTGTATGTCCGCATCCAAGTTGGGCAAGCGTCTTGCAGCGCTTTGCTGGATAGCGGCTCGTCCAACAATTTTATGAGCCAAGCCTTTATGCAAAGGGCTGGCCTTGGCGCACAAGTTTGAAGGAAGGCAAACCCGACGACGATCAAGTTGGCGGACTGAAGGACGCAACAACTTATTGACCGCTACATCGAGGTCGTACCGGTGTATTTCGCACCTCATGCATGCAAACCGGTGACATTCGACATTTTGGACACTGACTTCGATTATTCTGGGAATGCCTTGGCTTGCAAGTGCGGATCACACGGTCAACTTCCATCGGCGGACTCTTACCGTTCGCAATGCCTTCGGCGCATAAGTACCTTATACTAGTCTCTTCCGCTCCCTTCGATCCGATGCCAAGTGGTGACGGCCAAGTCATTCCGTCTACGGGCAGCCCGACGAAATCAGCCAATGTTTCCTACGGACTGTGAACTCTTCACCCATGGACTTGTCTTCGGACCCCCGTGTGGTGCGGTTGCCTGACGAGTTCGCCGACATCTTCGAGTCACCTACCGATGTGGTGCCGAATTGGTCGATCTCTTATGAGATCATTCTTGAGGCCGGTGCCGTGCCGCCGAAAGGTTGCATTTACCGCATGAGCGAGTAGGAGCTTATGGTCCTCCGCGCGCAACTCGATGACTTGTTGGACAAGAGCTGGATCCGCCGTAGTTGCTCTCCATATGGAGCGCCAATTCTCTTCGTACAGAAGAAGAACAAGGATCTACGATTGTGCATCGACTACCGCAAGCTCAACGCGCAAACCGTCAAGAATGGGGGGCCTCTTCCTCGCATCGACAATCTTCTTGAGCGATGGGCGGCGCAAAGTATTTTTCTAAGTTGGATTTGAAGTCCGGATATCATCAAATCTCGATCCGACCGAACGATCGCTACAAATCCGCGTTCAAGACGCGGTATGGGCATTTTGAGTGGGTGGTCATGCCTTTTGGCCTCATCAATGCCCCGACGACCTTTCATGCAGCAATGACCAACGAATTTTGCGCGATGTTGGACCGGTTCGTGCTGGTCTACTTAGACGACATTCTTGTCTATAGCCGGTTATTGGAGGATCATCTTGAGCACCTTCGATGAGTGTTGGAGACGCTCCGCCGCGCCAAGTACACAGCCAACCTCGACAAGTGCGAATTTGTCCGGCAAGAGCTGGAATACTTGGGCCATTTTGTCACACTGGAGGGCAGCAGTCCGCTATCGGACAAGATTCAAGCCATCTAAGAGTGGTCGGAGCCGCGGAACGTCACAGATGTCCGTTCGTTCCTTGGCCTTGCTGGCTACTACCAACGTTTTATCAAGGAATGTTCGAAGATCGTGGCGCACATGACCAAGCTCCAATGCGAGGATCGCCCGTTTGACTTCGGAGAGGATGCGCGGAAATCATTTTTGACTCTCAAAACCGCGCTATTATCTGCGGAGGACTTGCGCATATACGACCCGCTATTGCCAACGCGCGTCACTACGGATGCGTCCGACTATGGCATTGGTGTCGTCCTCGAGCAACAAGATGGCGTGGACTGGCACCCGATCGAGTACTTCAGCAAGAAAGTGTCCGTCGTGCACTCCATTGATGATGCACACAAGAAGGAGCTCCTCGCCTTCGTCCACGCGCTCAAGTGGTGGCGGCACTTCCTCCTTGGTCGAAGTCAATTCCGATGGGTAACGAACAACAATCCGTTGGTCTTTTACAAGACCCAACACACCGTCAAGAGCACCTTCGCCCGATGGATAACTTTCATCGACCAGTTCGACTTCTTTCCCGATCACATTCCGGGGAAGTTGAACCGCTTTGTGGATGCTCTTTCACAGCGTCCGGATCATTGTACCAGGGTCTATTTAACCTTTGAGATCGAAGACGACCTACGGGATAGCTTCATCCGCGGCTACCAAGCCGACCCCGAGTTTCGCGACAAGTACGCGAATTGCTCCTCTCCTAATTCGGCGCCTTCTCACTACCGGATCCAAGAGGGGTACCTGCTTGTCCACACACGGGGGAAGGACCTTCTTTGCATACCGAGTGACTCTCACTTGCGTACACGGCTTCTTGGTGAGTTCCAGGATCCTCCCGCCACCGGACACTTTGGAGTCAATCGCACGATTGGCCGACTTCGTGAGCGATTTTGGTGGCCCGGTCTTCTTGGCGACGTCACACGCTATTGCGAGTTATGCGAGGTTTGTCGGCGCTGCAAATCCCGCAACCATCGTCTGTACGGCGAGTTGCGACCATTACCAGTCCCCTTGTGCCGAAGGGAAGCGATTGCCATGGACATCACCGGGTCGTTCCCCAAGCACAAGACCGGTGTGGATGGGATTCTCACGGTGGTCGACCGACTCACCAAGTTTGCCATGTTTTTGCCTTGCCGCTATCATGCCAAGGCACCGAAGTTGGCCGAGGTTCTTTACGCCAGTTGGATTTGAACCAAGGGTTGCCCCAAGGAAATCGTATGCGACCGCGACACTCGGTTCACGTCCAACTTTTGGTTGGGGCTCATCAAACGAAGGGAATCATCTCTCAAGCCAAGTTCGGCTCGCCACCCTTAAACCGATGGCCAAACGGAGAGGGCGCATCAGACCCCACAAGTTCTCCTTCGCTCTCTCGTCTGTCCCGACCAAAAGGATTGGGTTGAGCGGTTGTCGGATGTCGAGTTGGCATACAACTCGTCCATCCACCCGGCACGACTCGCCGGTCACTTCTCCGTTGGACACAATCATTCCACGAACGGCCCAGAGCGACGACCATCTTCTTTTCTTGCGTTGGATGCAAGAGCTACTTGTCAAGGCACGCGACCAGATGGCCAAGGCGCAGCAACGCATGAGCCAACAGGCCAATCGCCAGCGTCTTCCTTGCCCATTTGGCACCGGCGATCTCGTTTGGGTTTCCACCACGGAATTCAGCCTTGAACAAGATATCTCTCGCAAGCTCCTCCCGAAATGGACGGGGCCTTGGCCGATCGTGGCACCACCTGGGGATGCAACCGAAGGACCTTCCTTCACCATTCAGGTGTCCGCCCACTTGCCCGTCTACCCGGTCTTTCATTGCTCCAAGTTGGCTCTTTACACGCCAGCGGAACATGACGATTTTCCTGGGTGACGAGCGCAAGACCCACCCTCAATGGACGGTTCTCAAGAGGTCGGCGACATCATCTCCTAGCGACGCTACGACAACAGGCCAACTGAGTACTTGGTACATTTTGCGTACTGCACTCACAAAGTTGACCGTTGGTTGACCCATGCAGAACTCCAAGCAACAGCTCCGGATATTCTCGCTCTTCACGAACGCAAGATGCAAGGCAAGCCGGTACCTTCGGCTCCACGTCACACCCGCATCCACGTTCCACCTTCAGATCGTCAGCTTCGCCCTCGCCCCGACTTGACTTCATAAGGAGGGGGGGGTGTTACATGCTGCGCCTGCAACAGGCTGCACGGGCCCCCTTTCAGGCCTGTGACGTTTTCAGGCCAAAAGCCTGAAAACAAGGGCTTATAGGCCCTGTGTCGTTTCAGCCTGAAAGCCTGAAAACAAGGGCCTACAGGCCCTGTGTCGTTTCAGGCTAAATCAGGGCCTTTCCGGCCTCGAGTGTTTTCAGCTTGAAACTGAGGGCCATTTTCAGGCCCTCATCAGTTCGACCCGCCCTGAAACTCAGGCAACAAACCAGGGTTTTAGCACAAGCCATTTTGGGCCTGTTTTCAAGACAACCCCTGGTTGAGCTTCAACGCCAGGGTCTGGCACGTTTCGACATTGGCAAGAGCAGCCTCCTGGACGGGCCAGCACTATATAGGACTGGCCCGCCCTGCAGGCCGGCAGGTAGTTCCTAGGTACTTCCCAAGCACTTCACGTGCAGTTTAGGAGGTAGTCTTCAGGATTCGGCAGCAGCACTCTGGAGGAGCGCTGCAGGAGTAGTAGCAGCGTTAGCAGTAGTCTTCAGTGCTGGGCGCCATAGGAGCTAGAGTAGCACTAGAGAGAGAGAGATTGGGTGGAGGCCAGAGGACTTACCTGCAGCGCCATAGCTCCAGCTTCGCCTTCGAGGTACTTGCAGCACAACGCCATCTTCACAGGTTAGTACCTGGCATATGAGAGAGAGAGAGAGAGTTCTTCTTCTTCCTCTTCTCAGTCAACCACCTCCCTCTCACCCTCTCGCTATTTGACTTCACTGCATCCGCAGACTAAGAGAGAGAGAGAGAGCTTGGTGACATTTGGATCCAGACTCGACATTGGGCTTCAGACATTTGACGCGGGGTTATCTGGGTTGCAACGAAGACTTGGTGTTGACGACATTCCCATCTTCCCCCCTCCTTCTTCGTTTGTGCATGATTTGGACCTGGCGCCTTCTTCCTGTGTGTAGCGCCAGGATCCCTTCACACCGTGTGATGAAGATGTTGTATGTTTAGTCTACATTGCAACATTGAGTGGGTTCGTCATTGGTATTCTAGCATTTTGCTGTGCTATCTTGTGCTACATGAAGGAGGTCAGTCCTAGTCAGGTCAGGACTTGTATCTAAGTCTTCCACTGTGCTATAAAGCACCATTCTTGTATGTATCGGAATGCACACTGCTCGTTGAGATTCTACTTGCACTACATTGTCCATTCAGTCCTTTTTATCACATTGCGGATCCTCGGTTTATTATGTACATCGCCCAACTGGGCATGTAACACCCCATCTATTCTGGAGGGCGGCACTCCAGTTGCTCATCACCGGCAAGCTGAAAGACAAAGTCAAAGGGAAGAATCAACTAGAGAGGGGGGAGGCAGGTGGAAGGCGGGGTGGGGGGGTATCGGGTCTGGCGGGCGGGAGAGCCGCATGCAGAGGGGCCAGGGGGGGCCGAAGTCGGCCCATGTCCCAGGGTGTTGTAGAGGCCGGTTACTAGGCACAAATTGATCGCCTGGAGCGGTTAGCCATGGTTGTCCTTAGGGAACGAGGCTACCTCCCATCCCATCCTCACGTCAATACTCCTAGACGAGGGGAGCGTCACCGAGAGGCAGCTCTTCTACTCTCTGGGTCACAAGACGCTAGGGTCTTCTCCGTGCCCTTCACTCCCCCCCCCCTTGGAGAGGTACTTGCAAACTTTTAGTGTCTATCACAGGAAATTACATTCCTCCAGGTCCCGTTCCCTACACGACAGACTTTCATATGGACTATCCTGAGTAACTGGCTCCATTTACTAATCAGCGCATCTGGCGGCGCGGCATTCACCGATGCCAGTAGTGTCGACTTATCACCTCCCCACGCCATCACTCACCCCGTACCCTGTCATTCCCCTCCCCATCCGACAATCATCTCTGTCATTCCCCTCCCCACCCGACAATTGTTTCCGTGATTCCCCTCCACACCAGCAATTATTTACAACATATCGTTACCAATTTATGCCAACCCGACTTCCATTTCTCAGCAGAGCACACAGCATTCCTGTATACAGCCGATCCCCCACTTTTTGGCCAGGCAGTGCAGACAGATGCAGCAATCCCATATACATGTCAGACCGGACCGGCCCGACCTGATACACCCTTCCAGACCTGCAGCATTCCCATACACACCTCCGATTAGACCAAATCACAGCACAATATCTACACTCAAACACCCTACACAGCACACTCTCTACCACCAGTCTCCCTAGACTATCGTTCCCCTTCCCATCCTGCAATTATTTGCAGCCCTCTGCACGCATGACTGAGCAGACACAGCGTTCCCAATCACACACCATTCCCCTACAGTCCCCTTCACTCCCTACAAGTATTTACAAGTCCTCTGCTCGTTCCAGGGTGCATACCGTCAGGCATATCAAGTTATGCCCACCCCACTTCCATTCCTTGAGCAGTCAATGCGGGCATCACAGCACACTATATACAGTCTGTACACAAGGCCAACCAACCACAACCTCCGAGAATACACAGCATTCCCATGTACACCCGATCAGCCACTTTTTGATCAGGAAATGCAGACAATTGCAGCATCCCCATATACACATCTGATCGGACGGACCTGACTTCCCATTTTTCAGACAGCACGGCACACTATCTACACGATTCTACAGTGTGGCATACTGTGCATCCCTACGGGCCTGCAGGGCCCGACCAGACGGAAAATAAGGGCCCTCCAGGCCCTGTGTCGTTTCAGCCTAAAAGCCTAAAAAGGAGGGCCATTTTCAGGCCCTCATAAAGTCGACCTGTCCTGAAACTTAGGCGCCAGAGCAGGGTTAAGCGCAGGCCATTTTTAGGCCCGTTTCAAGACAACCTTTGTTTGAACTTCAACGCCAGGGTCTGGCACGATTCGGCATGGGCAAGAGCGGCCTCCCAGCCGGACCAGCACTATATAGTACTGGTCCGCCCTGCAGGCTGCAGGTAGTTCACAGGCTGTGGCATACTGTGCAGCCACACGGACCTGCAGGGCCCGACCAGCGTTCGCAGCCTAAAAGCCTGAAAACAAGGGCCTACAGGCCCTGTGTCGTTTTCAGCCTAAAAGCCTGAAAACAAGGGCCTACAGGTCCTGTGTCGTTTTCAGCCTAAAAGCCTGAAAACTACAGGCCCTATGTTGTTTCAGCCTAAAACAGGGTGCTCCAGGCCCTGAGTCTTTTCAGCCTGAAACAGAGGGCCATTTTTAGGCCCTCATAAGATCGACCTACCCTGAAACTTAGGCACCAGACCAGGGTTTTAGCACAGGCCATTTTTGGCCTGTTTTCAAGACAGCCCTTGTTTGAACTTCAACACCAGGGTCTGGCACGTTTTGGCATTGGCAAGAGCAGCCTCCTGGACGGGCCAGCACTATATAAGACTGGCCTGCCCTGCAGGCTGCAGACAGTCAAGAGGTAGTTCATAGGAACTTCCCAGGCACTCCACGTGCAGGAGGCAGGAGGCAGTCTTCAGGATTCGGCAGCAGCACTCTGGAGGAGCGCTGCAGGAGTAGTAGTAGTGTTAGCAGTAGTCTTCAGCGCTGGGCGCTAGTAGGAGCTAGAGTAGCGTTGGAGAGAGAGAGAGATGGTTGGCGGAGGCCAGGGAGACTTACCTGTGGCGCCATAGCTCCAGCTTCGTCTTCGATGTACCTGCAACAAGGCGCCACCTTCACAGGTTAGTACCGGGCTGAGAGAGAGAGAGAGAGAGAGAGAGAGAGAGAGAGAGAGAGAGAGAGAGAGATTTG